TTTCTTTTGGCCCAATCCTCCAATTTGTCAAGGTCACTCTGGACCCTAGGTATCTACCTTTCCCCCCAGCTTGGTGTCATCCGTGAACTTGCTGAAGGTGCAATCCATCCCATCATCCAGATTATTAATGAATATGCTGAACAAAACAATTATGTTATAATCATATATGATTTACATACAGGGGTTCAACTGTTAACATAGATGGAGATATTACACATAATAGCTTGTGAAAGTCTCCCTGAGACATAGATTATAGTGATTAACAATGGATTTGTATGAGAACTGTACTATATTGCAAGTGTATAAACAAACCACGACAAACATGTATGTGGACTCCATGTCAGAAATTGTGTGTGCAGAAGGAGGCTGTAGAATTGTCCCATTATAAAAACAGACCTATCCCCAGCTCAAGCAGAAAACTTTAGCAATGCAAACCATATTTGTAAACAAACATTTAAAAACAGTGTCACATACATTAACAAAAATAGCAGCTATGTCTTTTCTTAGTCTCTTAGCAACAGAGTAGTAGATTTAAAAAAATCCCATTTAGTATCTGGTAAAAATATTTCCTCAAGATTTGAGGCATCAAGAATGCTCCTTTAAAAAATTTAGAATCTTGTTGGACACTTATCCCATCAGATCACTTATCTATCTGTAGTTATTGAACAAAGTAATACAACATAAATGACAGACAGGAACACCTGTAAGAATAGGAAAGAACATTTGAGCACATGGAAGGCAAAAATTGCCCTAAATTGCTTTACTTTTTTGAATAACTTCAATGAATGAAAAACTAGTTATTATAAGCAGCAGTCCTTGGAATCTTTAACTGTACTCCTTGTTCTTTAGTTGTCTACTACCTGGACTAAGGATGTTCCATATGAAGAAATATGATAATGATCACTTGCACTGGCATTGCTAGATTAGTTGATTTGTTATGCTCATACAAAGCACATGGGATCTTTTCAGGGGGGAAAGGCAAATATGCTGCATTTATTGAAAATACAACAGTTAGCATATGCTTTTCAGTCTCTCTCTCTCTCTCTCTCTCTCTCACACACACACACACACACACACACACACACACACACACAGTCCTGCCAGTTGATGTTTATAGTTATCAGTCTGTTGTAGCTTGAGTCAATCTAGTGGCCAGTTAGATTGAGCATGATTGAGGAGCTGGGCTCTTGTCGGTCACGATCCGATGCTTTGTAGTACTGAACCCAGAGTTCCATGCCAAAACACCCCAGCTTTGTAGTTGTAAATTCCCATTTGAGTCCATGCATTTTGCAATGTCATCCTGTCCTTAAGTGGTGTTAATCTTGGGGTTTTCTGCTGTTATCATTTGATGGTTATTGTCGGGCTTCCCATCGTTATCTCCTATTTGTTGTCTTGCCTCCCTCTGAGGTTGTCAATGCTGCTAACATGTTTAGCATTGGATACAATGAATGTTTTCTGATTGTCTCCTGGTTTTTCCAAGTCTCTCACTTTTCCTTGACCATCTGGACATTTGTGATGGCTTTCACACCTTTATCTTTTCCTGATGCATGCATTCCTCATTCACACAAACAACCTCTTACAGAAACCTTCAAAGGTATACAGACAGCAGTATTTTATATTCAGCAGAATACATTGTAAATCAAGCCTTGCTAAATCTTATAACTAAAACAATTCACATTGGGGCTTCAGGCCCTCAACATTCCTCTAATCTCCTTAACATTGACACAATGCAAGATCCTGTCTCTCACTTTCTAAACCTTAAAACAAAGAAATGTATATTTAAGTAGGGTGCCTAATTTGTAATACATATAGGAAACCATAGTAGACATAACTTATCCTAAAACAAAAGGGTGACCATAATTGTTCTGGTCTGTCATTCCTTTCTGCTATTCAAAAAGGGTAGCTGTCAGGATGAAATCAAATCATACATTACTTCTCATAGTACAATTATAAAATCCTGCTCCTACAGATTTCATGCAGGACTATGGTAAAAATAGAAAAGAGTGACATCACGTAACACGCAGCCCTGCATTTCCTTTACACTGATGGTGCTCTGTACAATCTCCCAGCTTTCTCAATGCCCCCAAGCTTCCCCGCATCGGCAGCTGCAGGAGCCCCCCCGAGCACCTAAGTTTTAGTCACGGGTATTTATATAGTAAAAGTCATGGACAGGTCAGGGGCTATGACTTTTTGTTTATTGCCTGTGACCTGTCCATGACTTTTACTAAAAATACCCATGACTAAATCATAGCCTTATTTATAATTAGGGTCCGCAATTTTGAGAATCCTAATTCACTGTCACAGTTAAGATATAATGTTTAAAATAAAAGTTATGTCCTATTCCTCCTGTTAGGGAGGACCTGTAGAGATTTGTGCCTTATGGTTATTTGGGGGGGGGGGGGAACGGGGGGACGGTCAGAATTGGAATGGAGTAGTTCCACCCCACATTCCTCCTACTCTTTGCAGATTTTCTCACAGGTAGGTATGGACAGTGCTACCCATTTTGTTAATGCTTCAAATGTAAGGTTAAATAACCTATCATCTAATGCAACTGAACCCATAGACCCCACTGTAAAACAGTACATCCGAACAGGTTCTTTAATTTTGCTTCTTTCGATGTTTCACTGACAGCAGGCAAATTTGCCATCAACAATGAGATGAGCAGATTTGCCAACAGATCTGTAAATCTTTTCAAGTACTGGGCTTGATCCTAAGGGTCTGACTAAAATGTGCCCTAACACAGTCCCAGTACGTCTTCAGCCTAGTGGGTGGAGCATGGATGGGGATATAGGGTTAGAGTGGATTGGTGCTTGAACTTCAATTAAAATTTCCCAGAATTTATGGTATTTTATTTCTTGGTTTGTTCCTTTTTAAAGAATTCTATTAAAGTTGTTTTAAAGGTTAATACAGTCTCCATCTAAACAGCCTCTCAACTAAGATTTTTGTTTGGAAATGGCACAGCTGACAGACTAAAATTCAAAGGATCTTATAAAGGCCTGGTGTGATGAAGTACTGCAGTAACACATATGTAGCCTATTTCTGGGGTAATAAAAGAGGAGACGGTCTGCTTCTAAAATACTGTGAGAACTAGAGAGGGCAAGTTAATAAATTACTTTTGTAAATTTCAAGGTAATTAGGTAACAATTACTAATCTTCCAAAGATTACCTGAACTATATTTCTAGGCACTGTTTGTTATCCGGCATTTTAGGGGACTGAGGGGTGCTGGTAAGTAAAAATTTCTGGTTAACTAAGAGGAGGGAGTTTCAGTGTGGGAGGGGGTCAGGGCTGGACCGTGGGAGGGGGTGAGGGCTCTGGGAGGGAGCTTGAGTGTGGGAGGGGGCTTGGGAACCGCAGCCAATGGGAACTGCAGAGCTAGTGCTCGGGGCAGGAGCACCGCACAGAACCGCCTAGCCATGCCTCTGCCTAGGAGCAGCAGGGGCATGTCGCCACTTGCAGGGAGCTGCCTGGGGTGGGCCCAGATCCGGTACACCACGCACCCTCCCGAGCCCCAACCTCCTGCCTTGTGCCCCCTCCCGGACCCAAACTCCCTCCCAGAGCCTGTGCCCTGCACCCCCTCCCACACTCCGAACCCCTCATGGGCTGTTCCTCCACTTAGGAGCAGCAGGGACATGTCGCTGCTTCTGGGGAGCCACGCAGTGCCAGGGAGGGAGCCTACCAGCCCTGTGCCAACCAGATTATAAACCGGACTTTCTATGAAGATCAGAAATGCTGAGCTTTCCGGGTGGTAAAATGCTGGATAACACAGCTTTTACTGTATTGTTACAGTTCATGCATTTTATCTCTTGCACTATTTTTAGGAATTGGCAAGTCTGCACTTTTAAAGAAATAATGGTAATAACCCATGGAAAGTCAATATTTAAAGGATACTTGATAGCATAAATGAATTTTGGTTTACAAAGAAGAACTCAAGAAGAAGGTATAGTTAAGATATTGTAAGTTTATTTTACAAAAAAGTATACAAAGAAAACATCTAGTTTAGTGGAATTAAACTTTTTAATGTTTACAGTGTTACAATTATGTTTGTATTTCATTTTTAATGACTTGTTTAAAATGACAATGATTATACTGACTATTTCAGATAGGGAAAATAGTCTTAATCCAGAGAATTTGTATTAATATATTCTGAAAAATAGAAGTACCATAATTAATCTCATGTTTTAATTAATCCATGTGGTTAATACTACTCAGTAAAGAGTTTAATCACATAACAGTTTTAGATCTTATAACATTTTGAAGAAACACTGCCAAGATGCTGTGTAGTATGGTTAATACGGAATAATACGTTTAACTTCTCACATATCAGAGTAACAGAGCAAAGGCTATATCCAGGTTGCCACAAAATTCAGTGATCTAGTAAATGGAAATATAGTCGTGGCTAAGCTTCAGAAACAGTGGAAGTTTACACAACTTGTTTATTCCTAGCATATTGGGAATGAACTCTGGAGCTCACTGTATGTATTTTTAGTACATTTAAAGATATTCCTGTAAATCTAAACACTATCTCATGGACTATAACTTTATATGCATATCACAGTAATGGCAGTGAAATTTTTATTGCAAAAATTAATTATACATAGATTGCCACACTTCTGGAAAGTGAAGGAACTTTAGCTGAGTCTTTCAAGCAATGTTTGTTTACCAGCTGTTTCAGTATGATTTTTAAACGTAATTCCCTATAAATTCAATCTTGCTGTAAAAAAATCATACAAGTCAGACATGAAAGAAATTTAAGAAACCAAAAACTAGTAACAGAAGGGCAACATTAACTCTGAAATATTATCAACTGCAATTACAATATCAAATTGTACATTAGAAAACATGTCACATAAGCATTCCATCATAAAACCAGTACATTTTATATATATTATTCCAACCCAATTTCAATAATAGCTCTGCTACGATACAGTGATGTATTCTTCAGGAAACAAAAAATATTCAGTTTTCCACCCCTTTTAAATGAATATTGCCACTTTCTCAATTTTTTTTTTTTTTTTACCACAAGCGAGAGAATTTGCTTAACATTTGGATTAAAATTCCACATAAACACAACTTTCAGACAATTTTAAATTACAATTTTTTTTAACTTTTAGGACAAAAGGCTGTCAACCATAATAGACACATGGTTCATCATCACTTATGTCTGAATCATCTTCATCCACTTCTCCTTCAATGACTGATTTCTTCCCTTTGCAACATGACACAATTAATCCGATTAAAAAGACCTGTGAATTTAAATGAGTGTAATATGTATTACTCGATCTCACTTAAGAATATGAAAGCGATGCATTTAAAGTTAAATGTCACAGTCGTGATGCAAATACCTGAGAGTTACAATTTATGTTAAAGCATTCAACTTGATTTGTAATTATCTCTACGTCAGATTACTTACTGCAATGAATGCCCAGTTCCCAAAGTAATAGGCAGCACTAAAGAACCAAAACTTATGAAGGAAAAGGTAGGTCCGAGTAATAGTGCACTGATCTAAAATAAAGCAGACAAAATGGTTATTCCAATGTGTGTATTTCATGGTATAGTAAAATCTTCTGGAATTACAGCTAACAGTAAACTGATTAATATTAAAAATATAGCAAAAATCTACTACTCCGCTCAAAATAGACAGTCTTCTCTTAAAGATACAGAGATATACAAGCTAATTATAGTTATGGAATAATTTATTCTGAGGAAACAATAATTATAAAGAAAATAATGCAGTTTCACAGAGAATTACATAGACTTGTCTGAAAAAAAAAATCTATTGGTTGAAACTATACATGTTTGCAGGCTCAGCCCAAAGTTGATTTTACAAATTCCAGTTATCTATTTGAGTTCTGCTACAGCAAAGACATATATGAGAGGTTATATGACCCAAAAAAGCAGAGGTCTGATTCAGACTAGAAATCTGCCACCAGGATTGATTAAATCCCCACCATCCCTCCAAAACAATACGGTAGGTTTTAAGAATGCTCGGGAAGCAGATCTGGAGGAAGAAACGAAAGGTAAAAGTCATGGATTTTTTACAGATTCAACAGACTATCTTGATATAGACTTAGCCCTTTGCAGCCTGTCCAGACCCTAGGGGGAGAGCAAGTAGGCCTGTGTGGGAAATCCTTAACCCACAAAAACACTACATTCTAAAAGAAACACAGAAAGACATACGTTTGCTTACTGAACAAGTTACTTCCACGCATAAAACTGTAGGCAATACTGAGGCACTCCCTTCACACGTGTGTTGCATGAACTTCTTGCATCCTGTCTTAACTGCAGCCCCACTCCTGCAAACCTTTACGTATATGCTTAGCTTTACTCACACTAATAAGCCCACTGAAGCCAATGGGACTACTCACATGCATAAAGACACAATATATGTGTCTGTAGGATTGGGGCCTCAGACTGATAGCTCTTCAGGGTGAAACTGTACTATTACTAATAAATGGTAACTAAAAAAAAGCAATTTTCATATGGAAAGATTCTCTCTATTACAATTTTTTTTGGAGGAAAACAAGATTTTTGGCTTTAAGTGAAGGTATCATTTAATAAAATTATGAATTTTCACTACAAGTTGTGTCATGAACGTATGTCTCTAAATTAGAGAGCACTGGCTTCTAGATCTGGCCGAAAAACAAACAAGATTCTCTTGCTATCTAGCTGTTGGGTAGGGAAGATGTAACTACATTCTCTGTATATTTGCTCACAAATTCCCATACATTTTAAAACAGAAAAAAAATTCTGTGACTTTAAGCTGTGCACATTCTTCTGGAATCTTAGCATATCAGGGATGCACTGCTCATCAAAATAGTAGAACAACTATTAACCAGTGTAAAACAGGTTCTTCCTTAAAGAAAGCTGTTAATTCTTACAAGATACTTATTAAAGATTTGCCATTTCTGAAAAACAAAAAACAGTTGGGATTGTATCCATTTATTTATATGGATGTGAAAATGTGACCACCTCCAGTGTTTATTTAAGTTGTGTACAGCAGATGCAGTACTAGTGATGAGTCAAAAGTAATAGACATTACCCCATTTTTCTGGTTTTATAATGTGTTAAATTCTTAATAGGATTGCCCACAAGGGACTGCATAATAGACCTATCATCTTCTACTGGTCCCAAAATGCTGCAGAAGGTTTATTCAAATGCTATTTATTTCCATTAAGTCACCAAAATATTCACTTTTCCTATATAAGTACTTGTGTTCTTGCATATCAAATTTATTTTTTTTAATCACCAAGCCCAAGTGAATTGGAGTTCCCAAATCTTCAGCAATTGACAGAATTTGGATGCAGTGGTTGTCTGAAGACATTTGTTCAAAGGGTAATGCTATTCTTGATACAATTTTTAAAGGTGACCATATTTCCTAGAGATGAGGAAATTCAGCATGTCCATTCCCTGGGAACAGAAAATTTTCCACATCACAGTAATTCCAAAAGTTTCAATTGAGAAATATCAAAGTGTTTCGTTTCAACATTTTGATGGAAATGAAACAGACACAGAAAACATGAGACACAGGCACTATAGCATAGTTAAATGCAGAGGCTACAACTTTATTTAAAACGTAACTAACTGGCGTAATCATTCCAGAACACTCAGCAGGCTTATTCCAGTGTGGTTCTCAATGGTCACCAATGACCCCAGTCTACTATAAATCTGAGGGCAAGTGTAAAGCGTGAAGGCCATGCCCCCTCTACAACTTTGGACCTGCCGAGGGACCTTGATTTAGAGCAGAGTCCCAACCTGCTTTCCATCTCCATGTCAGAGGTAGCAAAGCTAAATTAAAGGGAGCCATAGGCTGCACGAGACATAAGAACATAAGAGCGGCCATACTGGATCAGATCAAAGGTCCATCTAGCTCAGTATCCTGTCTTTTGATAGTGGCTAATGCCATATGCCCCAGAGAGAATGAACAGAACAGGTAATCATCAAGTGACCCATTCCCTGTCGCTCATTCACGATTTCTGGCAAACCCCCTCAACATGCAGTGCGGTGCTCAAGACCAATGCCCAGGCAGCCCACTGGATTACAGGGACCTCAACAGCACCCCTGCTAACCCACCAACTGCACTGGAATCTGCCAAATATGTAATTTAAACCCCCTGCTGGGCGCCAAGTGGAAGATGAAAACCCATACAGTTTGCCCTATGGGAAAAATCCCTTCCAGGACCCAAAACTCGCAATCAACCTAGCTCTTAGCACCACCAAAATCCAGCAGCTAGATTAAAGGTGGGAAGGGTGAGGCTGCAACAGGGAACCCACCATGGTTACCCTTCCTTGGCAGCCAACTATATCAACCCTCCCTTGTCCTCCACCAAATGAGAACCAGTCACCCAGCCCTAGCACCACCTCCACTGTCCAATGGCAGCAGCATTGGGCAGAACATGCCCTGGAGGCCCAGGTGCACATGATCTCCAATAACCTGCAACATGAAGAAGGCAGGGGGTGGGGAAGGGAGAAGAGACGCAGCTGCCCCACACACTAAAGGAAAGGGAAGAGAGAAAAAAAAAAGAGGGGGCATATAGAATACTGCTTTAGCTGCTCCCAGTGGAGATCCCTCTCTCTCCTGGCCCCAGAAAATGTCTCTCCAGAGTTCCAGATCCCATCAAAGCCACACCCTGGCCAGTGGGATGAGCAGTTCATATGTTAACAGCAGTTTGGAACCCATATAATATATACATATATACATATATAATGTATTTCAGTCCACCCTTCATCCCCATAAATTATACAAAAGAATAAATTCAGCTTGATTTTGTGTATTTTATTTTGAAAACTGAAGTAATGTGAAATCACATGTAAGAGCAGAATATTAAAGTGAGTTGCCATGGAAGTGAGAACAAAAAGATCAATAATACACAGGGAATGACTATTTTAAGGTAAAGGAGATCGTAACGAACAGAAGGAAGACAAAAATGTGAAAAATGAAACAAATGAATTAACTGGTTTCAGAGTAGCAGCCGTGTTAGTCTGTATCCACAAAAAGAACAGGAGTACTTGTGGCACCTTAGAGACTAACAAATTTATTTGAGCATAAGCTTTCGTGGGCTACACGAAAGCTTATGCTCAAATAAATTTGTTAGTCTCTAAGGTGCCACAAATACTCCTGTTCTTTAAATGAATTAACTGTGATTCAGCAGGTGGCACTCTTCCTTCTGATAGTGAACCTAGGAGTTAAAGGCTGTTGAAGTGTTTGTCTTTTGCAAGATTCGTAACAGAGATCCTGGCCACTTGTGGGTGTAAAAGATCTTGTAACATTTCCCATGGAGTGTTATACCCACGGAATATGGACAAATACAACCTCTCTGGAGATTAACTCACAGTAGCGTGAGGAGAATCAACTAAACCAAAGATTGTAGGACTGCTCCCCTGAATTGGTAAAGTCAAGAAATTAATATTGCGTAAATGTATGAACCCAATTCCAGGGAGAAGACTTGTATATCATACCAGATAGAATCCTGACATATCCTGAAGAAGCTTTGGACCCGGTACAATACATCCTAAGATTTTCAAGTGCTGAGAAACCGTCATGACAAATTTGTAAAAAAAAGTTTACTGTTTCCCTCCTGCATGTTTATCCATCTGCTACAAATCTCAGAGATTTAAAAAAGTTGTAGTCTTACCTAAATAATAACTCAAAACTCTTAACATCTTGCTTAAATTAACATACATATAAACCAATGGACTGGGATTATACGGAATTCAGAGATCACAGTACTTAGAATTTTGTAATGGAATGTGGGAGTAAAGCTAACTTGCTCTCGTGGAACACTGTGTAAGGAATATTGGCCTTAGGGTTGCAAGTCACTGATTTTCTAGGCCAATGTTATTGCTGTGAGAAATGCAATCTTCAGAAAAAAATTACACAGTGAATATTTTCCCAAAGTTTCAAATGGAAGTTTAATAAATTTAGCAAGAACTAGATTTAAACCACAAGAAGGCACTGAAGGTGGGAAACAGTGAAGTAAGCGTTTCAGGAATCTTTGGATGACCAAGTACAAAAGATTCTTGAATGGGAATCTGGCATATGTGATTGCATCTTTGTCTGTGCTCAGTACATTTTTATTTTTCAAAGAATAGATCAGGATAACATATGAATATGAATACTGAAGTAACTCGCCTCTGTATGGACTAGAAAGGTAATCTCTCCATTTCCACTGGATAAATTTGTTTGGATGCTGAAAAGGGAACTCTGCTGCCAAACCTAGGGGACTGAATGCAATAACTGAAGAGATCAGTTTGAAACTATTAATAGTGCCCAAGTTTTTGTCTTATTTTCTATTCCTGATGACTTTTGAAATTGGGGCTATTGGAGAGAATACCCAGGTTATAGTCTAGGGAAGTAGCATTGGTCAGGGAACCAAAGCCACTTCCTCCCCAGACCACAATTTTAACATGTCATTTTCATTTGTTGTGAAGAGATACCTCTATATAAGTTTTTATGTATGCTGAAATAATACATGAAAGAGTGAATTACCAAGCCCTTTTAAATCG